GCCGATGCCGCCGCCGTCTCCTACCGGCTCTGGGTAATAGTCTCGCTCTGGGTAATAGCCAACTGATAAATTAATCATCCAGTACGTCTCTCTTCTCCATTGATTTGTTTATGTCCGATGATGCTATGCATACACATTGAAAATTGCAACTTGGGGCCAATCAAGGCGTGCGACCTTCAGCTTCATCATTGGCCAGATTTTTCTAGGCGACATGGTTATTGACCGGATGCGCTCGAGAAAATTTAGATAAATCATGTATTCACTGGGCTCGCGTGCAGGTGAACGGGTGCCTGTCGTGGGGTGACAAGATCGCGCACGGGTTCTACAACATCATGGGCATCGACCCGCACCTGTGGGCGATGTGCAACGCCGACGAGGGGGAGGGCCGCCGGCTGCCGACGCTGGCGGCGCTGCGGGAGGTGGACGCCAGCGACCAGTCGTCGCTGGAGGTGGTGCTCGTCGACAAGTGCGGCGACTCCGTGCTGGTCGACCTGGAGCGGCGCGCGCTCGACCTCTACCGCGCGCTCGGCGCCACGCTCGACCTCGTCCGCCGCCTCGCCCTGCTCGTCTCCGACCACATGGGGTGCGTACGTCACCTCCTCCGATCGATGTTCACTTGATTTGCTTTCGAAGAAAAGGTTAGCCTGGTCCGTGTTGATGCATGTCTCGCCCGTGTGTGCCCGTGCTCCCTGTGAGCGTGACTGCGTGAGTGTGACCGTGACTGACCTTCGATAGAGCAGTGGACATGCAAGTTGACGACCTGCTCGTCCGTGAACCTCGGAACCTGGGCACCGACGAACATGTGAACAACACTCCAATTTCAGAGACCACTTTATGTCTTAAAACGTAGCACAGTTACATCATGGATCAAACGATCACCATGGCCGGTCACGTTCCTGTCTGTACCTCCATGCTGTCATGCCATTCGTTACATACAACTTGAGCTTTGTTGATCAAAATTTCCAGTAAATAATCTGAGCAGACAAATTTCAGCTAAATTTGATGGTGGTGTTTGAAGGGGTGCATTGAGGTCGGAGGACGGAGACCTGTACATGCGGTGGAAGGCGGGCAGCAAGCGGCTGAGGAAGCAGCAGAAGAGCGTCGTCGTCCCCATCGGCCGCCTGTCCATTGGGTTCTGCAGGCATCGCGCCATTCTATTCAAGGTCTCCGGCTTGTTTCACTTACCGTTGCGATCCATGCTACTTTAGGCCAGCAGGTTATTTTCAGTCCTGTCATCTTCTCCAAACTGATGCAGGCTCTAGCAGATTTTATCGGCCTGCCATGCCGAATCGCGCAAGGTTGCAAGTACTGCTCCGCGCCTCACCGGTCCTCTTGCCTTGTCAAAATTGAAAACGACAGAAGATATTCAAGGTATGTATGTAGAGTCCTTTTTGCACAAACTTTTTGAGCATTCTGTGTTGATCAATGTCATGCATTGGTAGTGAGTAAACATATGACAGATATCTGCTCAGGTTGCTTTGTAATTATACTGGTGCTTCCTCAGGGAGTACGTCGTGGACCTCGTCGTTGCGCCAGGGAGCATCTGCAGCCCAGACTCGTCCATCAACGGGCAGCTGCTCTCCTCTGTGTCTTCACCTTTCAAGACTTCTTGCACGGCAAGTTTGGAAAACTACGCGGCACCGGTTGCGGCTTGGAATCGTGCGATAGCTGACGATCGTTGCAACTCGGTGTTCTCAGATTCTCAATATTCAGGTACAATCTACAAAATATATATAGGCCATGCAGATGAGCATACTGATTGATCATGTACTGTAGCAGTTGCCGGGGACAAGAACCCTGTTCAAGCAGACACAAAATGCGGTCAGGTCATGCAGAATGACAACTGCAACAACATGTCAGTGTTTCAAGTGTCAAGGCAATTTAAGGCGATGGAGGTCGGCACCGAGGGTGTCAATAAGGAGAACATCCCTGGTCTTACACTGCCGAAACACCTGCTCGCTGAGTCATCTTTCGCCATGGATTGGCTTGAGATATCATGGGATGAGCTTGAGCTCAAGGAACGCATAGGCGCTGGTACTTGCTTAGCTTCAGTTTTCTTATCAACTTGCTGCATTCTGTGGATTTGATCACAGTTTACTGAAAATGCAGGTTCATTTGGTACTGTTTATCGAGCTGACTGGCACGGTTCTGTAAGTACTGTAGACCTTTCACTATGGAAACCTTTTTTTTCTGCAATGAGATAAGTATCCTTTGCAGAGATCATGAAATTGAGGTTGTAGTTTTGGTTATGTAGGATGTTGCAGTAAAAGTGCTTACAGACCAGGGTGTTGGCGAAGCTCAGCTCAAAGAATTCCTTAGAGAGGTTGCTTCACCGTTTCTTTTTTGCATCAAAACTTCACCTGTGGTTAGTATGGATCTCAATCTGTCCCATTCTCTTTAGCTTGGCACATTGTTGATCCTTGCAGATCTCTATCATGAAACGAGTTCGCCATCCAAACGTGGTACTATTCATGGGTGCAGTGACCAAATGCCCGCATTTGTCGATAGTAACTGAGTACTTGCCCAGGTAAACCCTCAGTCAGTTTCACGGGCAAAATGAACTAATTCCCTGCACCAAACAGAATCACTGAATCATCCTGCTGTGAACAGAGGGAGCCTCTTCCGTCTCATCAGCAAAGCTTCTAGTGGGGAAATACTTGATTTACGGCGGCGTTTGCGCATGGCATTAGATGTTGTATGTATTGCAATACCAACTTCTACAGATAAGCATGCTCCTGAAACGTTACTCGTTTCACTGAATGTTATATGAAGCATTGCTGTGACCAAACTGCAGGCAAAAGGCATCAACTATCTCCACTGCCTGAACCCTCCTATAGTACATTGGGATCTGAAGACACCAAACATGCTGGTGGATAAGAACTGGTCCGTAAAGGTTAGTTGGAGTTCATTTCCCAAATGGCGTAGCGCGGTCGAATACGGCTCTTCTGCTTTTGTCCCATTATTTACTATCCTTGATACAACTTCAGGTAGGTGACTTTGGCTTGTCCAGATTTAAGGCGACCACCTTCATATCATCCAAATCAGTCGCTGGAACAGTAAGCTTTGCATGACAGTCTACTCAGTTAGTAACTCGCCATTACATCTTTTTGGATTCTTAATATCAAATTCTGGTTAACTGCAGCCAGAATGGATGGCGCCAGAGTTTCTCCGTGGCGAGCCATCCAACGAGAAATGTGACGTGTACAGCTTTGGCGTGATCTTATGGGAGCTCCTGACGATGCAGCAACCATGGGGCGGCCTAGGCCCAGCACAAGTAACCTATTTCTGTGTTTCTTATATGGTATAGAAAAAAAGGCGATATTCGTGATTCACTGGAGTAATATTTACAGGTAGTAGGGGCAGTTGCATTCCAGAACAGAAGGCTGCCAATCCCTAAAGACACCATCCCAGAGCTAGCTGCTCTTGTTGAATCCTGTTGGTCTGAGTAAGCAAATTTCCCATGACCTGTCAGCCACCTTGATCAAAATTTCAAGTGACGGCACCCATTAGTTCAGCCTAAGTTTAAAACAAAACATCATCATCGATAACACGATTTTGCTTTATTTTCAGTGACCCAAGGCAGCGCCCTTCGTTTTCAAGCATTGTGGATACGCTGAAGAAGTTGCTCAAGTCGATGCAGGGATCTGGTTCATGACAGTCCCGTGGGTGTTACTCTAAGACGATGCAGTGATCCGGTTCATGACAGTCGATTCTTGGCCGGCCATTCTTTTTTCTCTACTCTGTCGATTAAAGCTAATGCACAACAAGGAATAAGGAATTAGTTTCCTCAAGGAACATGGGAGGGTAGCTGAGGCAGCACAAGTGCAATGCTGCATCGAGTATGTTGACTCGTTTCCTGACCATTCATGTTGTCTCTGTATAGTGATTTGAGCTACAAATTCAAAGCTCCCGAGGGTCAGTGAGCTGGTTATGTATAATGTCCTGAATGTGTCAAAATAGTTCTACTGGCTGAGAAATAGCGCCGTCACTTTAGAAAAATGGGAGATAGATTTGATAACAAGTTTAACCGCTCACATGATCCTATGCTGAGTTCCCAATTTCCATCAAAGCATCCAACTGAACTGAAATGAACTTCACAACAGGGAGCATCATACTGGAACTGAACATATCCAACTGAACTGAACTTAAATGAATTTCACGACAGGGGAGCATCATACTGGAACCGAACATATCTCATCGATTTTAGCATCGTCAAGCAGTCCCCAGCCTGTGTTTTCAACAGAAATTCCAGCATTTCAGCAAGGAGAACGCATATCACGAGACATGACTATCTAGCATCTAGACTGATCGTTCCTTGGGACAAAATACTAATATCACGGACTACCTACATGGGACAAAATCCACCTCGCTTTGCAAGTTATACCATCCGCTCGTCGAACAATATCCACAGTGTTTTGCAGGTTACACTACCCGCTCGAGCTCCCGTGCGTAGCAAAGAGATCGCTTGATCATCTGATGCGCTTGTATGCCGACACGGGGTTGGACCTTCGCCATGTGGAAAAGGACTGAATGATTCTGAACCTCCCATTCATGCTGTATCTGCCAACATAAGGAGTACTTGTATAGTCAGGAAGTGGCAGCGTTAACAATCATACAATCTAGTCTACTAGTACGCATATGGTTATGTCAGTAGAGTAGCAGCTTAGTGGTTTGCACTCATGCCTCTAACAAGATGTGTTTTACCACCCTTTAAATTATTCAGACGCCAACGATTCACTATGACATTATTCATATAAAACATGGTGATAGGACAGAAGACGAGAGAAATTAATAGTTACCTCTGATATGTACTCCAGAAGCTTTTGCTCAGAGGAAAACATCAGCATTTTTCTGGTACCATCCACTGGCAAGTGATCGTATGCCTGACCACTGCAATCAGCTATCTCATCTCTGCAAAAGAAGACGTAGAGAACACAATCAGGAACTTCACCACACGAGCCATGTAGAAAACGTAATGTAAATTCATTCACCTAATAGTTTCAGCAAGAAGGGTCCATGAAGTAGAGGTATGTCTCATGTGGCACAGCTCGCTGACCATTGGTTAATCGGTTGTAGGTACCTTCCATAAAGGATTGCTCAAGCTCGACTGCATATTTGATGCAAGGATGGTCTAGGGCTCTGGGGGGCAGAAGTTCCAGCTCAGTGTGGAATTCAGCTACTCTGTTCTCAGCCAACAGCCTCAGAAGATTAAGCCCCCAAATTCGATATTCTTCTGGTGATGGTGGGAGTATGCTTCTGATGGACAATCACAAAAGAAAACACAATATCAATAGCACTCGGCAAACATAAGTTCAGAAATACAGTGCTCCAGGATAGAATATCTATGTGGAAATGTTCAGCGGCATCTTTTAGCCACAAGATAATCGTGCTCCTAAAAATCCAGGAGGTCGCACAGATTAAGACAATTCATAAACGTATCCTCATTCCTCAACAATGTCGACTTGACAAATGACAAACAATGAAACCATGTGCTGACTGCTGAACGAAAGAATCTTAATAATTGCATTTTGATTACTTATATCAAGGGTGTCCTGCTGGCACCTGCCATTCCTTATAGGTGCTGTGAGGAATAGAATGCCAAGGTACTAGATAGTGATTAAACCAAAGGTTAATGGTCACAACACATAACTTCCACCACAATCAAATAGATTGTATCAAGGAAGTGCATGTCCACGATCTAGATATTTGAAATGTCAATTGTTTTTTAGGAAAAACATAAGCGTGTTGGCACAAGAAAAATAAGCTAGAAAGATAATTTACGTGCATGACTACATAGGATGAATCTATGCAGTACGTAGGACCAAAATGTGCTTAAGTAGAAAACAAACCTTGTATCCATGTAGAAGACTTTTAGTTGGAAGAAGTTCCTCTCAAATGCATCTTGGTCCTTAACTCTGATGCTGAAGATGACAGCAAACTCGTATATGGCCCCTGAAAGTTTCACGATCAGTCACCACAACTAATTTATACAAAAATGTAGATTGCAAAATGGTAAACTGCAATGCAGAAGTGTAGCCAGCATTCTTAGAGTTGATGCCGTAGCATGAAAAATGCTTTCCAGACTTGCAGTTTTTAGATGAAATGGTAAATTGCAATGCAAAAATGTAGCCAGCAGTCTTACAGTAGGACAGTTATAGTCTACTACACACTTGCAAAATGGTACAGTAGATTGCAATTAAAAAATGTAGTGAACAGGGCTTTCTCAAATGGTGTAAAGAACATTTATGAGTGACAACAATACTCTCTTCAGGAGAATGCTTTGTAGAATTGCAGTTGTAGTCCATGACCAGCGAACATACATACAGAGCTCAATACACGCATCCTGAAAAGAGTATTCCACGAAACACCTTCAACTACATAGCACGTCTCAAATTGGATGAAACTCCATATGCAGAATTTTGGGTTCCATTTTATAGGAGCATTTCTCTTAAATTGGTTCAGAATCCCACCTTTAACTGAAAATAAAAATGGTTCAGCATGACAAAGGACAGAGCACAGTTTTTTTCCAGGAGCAAGTGCTTACTTGCGAGTCTCAGCTCCGCAACTGCATTGGGTGTATTCTTAAATGATGGTGGCAGGCTAGGAAACTTTGTGAGAAGAACCTGAAATCAACGAAATGAGGAGACATGTCACCTGATGATAAACGCTGAATTTAAGTGAAACCCTGACAATTCAAAACAAAAAACACAGCATTGCATCCTGTCGTGAATCCCCAGACCAGGACCTACATCAGTGTTGACATTGTTATTGTGGAACTGGATCTTCACATCTCCAGAACTGCAAACCCTCGCCCCAACTCCTCCCCTCATTTCCAGCAAATCGCATCAAACCCTAGGCAGCAGCAGTACAGTTGGGAAATTTCAGGAACCAACGGGGAGCGCATCCCGAATTCCCGACCCACCCATCCATCTCCCAAACCTGATCAAACCCAGGTGGAAATGGATCCTCGAATCGAAAAGAAAAACTCCCTGGAACTCGCCCAAAACCGCTCGTAAACCCCATCCCCCGCGCCGCGGAACTCCCGAATTCTCCAAACAAACCCTGCGCATCCACCATAATACCCCGGATTTCAGAAACATCGCGTATACAGCGGGCAAAGGCGTCAATGTACCGAATCCCCCTTCCTCATCGTCGCAGGAAAAAGACGGGGACGAAGTCGAGCCGTGGGTAGGTGGGTGGATACCTTGAGCTCCGAGATCAGGGTGGCGCAGGTGTCGAGCTCGTCCTCCGCGCAGGCGAGCTTGAGCCACGCGAACTTGCAGTTCGCCTCCTCCAGCTCCCGATCCATGGCGGCAGCAGCTTCGCCGTTCCCAGTTCCCCTCTTCGCTCTTCCGTTGGTCCTGGTGGTTTTCCTCGGCCACTTTTGTTCCTGTGGGCTTTCTTTCTTGCGGGAGGAGATGGTGCCACTGGCGTCGTTGCGGGGGTCTTGTGAGCCGTAGAGTGGGGAATTAACGGTCGTGATCGTGCGTGAGGTGGATGGGAAGAACGGAATGCGTATGGAGTACCGTTGCGCTGCAGAATACGCGTCCGTGCTCCGGTGGCGGACCTTGGGATGGGAACCCTCTCGGTACGATGATTCCCGCAAAAAAAAAGGGTACGATGATTTGTTATTCAAGTTAGCAAAAACATATTGAATATAACGGGATTTGATAAAAAAAAAAAGGTGGAGGTGCGGGGAATCGAACCCCGTGCCTCTCGCATGCGAAGCGAGCGCTCTACCATATGAGCTACACCCCCGTTGTTGATCCTTGCAATCCGCAAGTTTTCATCTACGTGTACGGTACGTGCACAAGCTTATTGCTGGAACCTATGCACACATACCGCACATATGCATCCGTGCAGCTTCAGGCACGCGATGGCTACGCTGCATCCATCCATACTCAACTCTAGTTTCGACTGCGGCCACTGACAGCTAAAATGGTGCGTTGTTGAGTGGTCTCCGGTCCGGCCTGGTTCAGAACCGACTTTCAGACGCTTTTCAACCACTCTACCTGTTGCCATGCCGCTCTCATCCACTGCACTGCACCCACGCGTCACTTAAGATAGACAGATACAAACGCTGTAACGGCCCTTGACACCGCACTCTCGACGGCGTCATTTTGGGCCACTCTAGATTGATCCATGTAACATTGGGCAGCCAGCTTTTTTGAGGTGTAACTAGGGATTTTATTGATCAGCTAAAACCGGAGGAATACATATAATGTCTGGCGGGTTCCCTAGCCACAGATGGCGACCCGTAGGGAGAGACGAGGCTGCCTTTGCCCAGGCATGGGCCTCAAAGTTTGCCTCCCTACTTTCAAAACGAAATTTAACTCCTACAAAGTCTGTAACTCTAGCTTTAATCTCTTCAATTGCAAAAGCATAAGAGGAAGATGACGTCGCCCCCTTAATATCCGAAACAACCTGCATGCAATCCGAGGCTATTATCACATGTGTCAGCAATAGATCTTGAGCAAGGGCAAGCGCCTCGTTGCACGCTTGAGCTTCCAAGCTTGGGGCGTCGACTAATCCTTCAAAAACCACCGCCGAAGATCCCAGGTAGTTGCCTTCTTTGTCCCGACACACAACAGCCGATGCACCCGTTCCTCCTTGGCGAGAGATAGCCCCGTCTACGTTGATCTTCATTGCTTCCTCTCCCGGCGGGATCCACCTGCGCTGCCTTTGTACCACCGGCTGCGAGGGACGCGTTGGAGCGCGTTTGGCAGCGATCTCCGGGTCCTCCAAGTATCTGTTCACAAAACACATTGTAGAAAGAGGGCTTTGGAATTCGTCATCATGAATTGCTCTCCTCCTAGCCCACCAGATCGCCCGCATGGTGATGAGCACCCTGGCAAGGTCCTGTTGGTTCAACGTGTCAAATAGCCAAAACAACCAAAGCCTTGCATCTTCACTCCTGTTTGATATCACATGCTCCAGGGTCTCCTCATCTCCCAACGCCCAAACACATCGTGCCATCCGGCATTCAAACAAGGAATGACGCCATGAATCCTCCTCCTCATCGCAGAGCCCGCAAGCTGGAGAAGTGGCCATGTTTCGCTCATTGCGCACTGTACCAGTCGGTGACGACATGTGAGCTAGTCTCCATACAAATACCCTTACTTTAGATGGGACTTTAACTTTCCATAGCTGAGACCAAGCCTTACTTTCGGCTTCCACATTTGAGTGGCTCGTCCTGTGTTCCAACCAATCCTCTCTCTGATGTTTGATGGCACTAATCATCTTGTATGCTGACCTTACGGTAAAACCCCCTCTCCGATCATAGTGCCATGCCCAGAAATCACGTTGCACCCGGAGACTTAGTGGTATATTCATTATGATATCCACATCCAGGCTGACGAAATGCTCGATCAAAACCTGCTTGTTCCATGTGCGCGTTGTAGCATCAATTAACTCTGATACAAGCTGTGGTGGATCAGGTGATATAGTGCATATGGGCTTCAGCTTATAGTCACACGGCAACCAGTTGTCCTCCCATATGCGGGTGTCTGTCCCCGATCCAACCTCTTTATTAACCCTAGAACAAGCAATTCTTTTCCTTCCATCAACGATCGCCATACTTGGGAGGGATGTGCGCCCAGTGCAGCGTCAAGTATGTTGCCTTCCGGGAAGTAACGCGCTCGTAGAACTCGAGCACTCAATGATTCGGGATCCTGCAGAAGTCGCCACACTTGCCGAGCCAATAAAGCCAAATTAAACAGCTCGACGTCCCGGAAACCAATTCCACCCATGTTTTTTGGTTTGCACATTGTCTTCCAAGAAACCCATGCTGGTTTCCTCTGACCCCCTTTACTGCCCCACCAAAACTTCCGCAGAAGACCGTCTAAGTGTTCAATCAGACCTCGGGGCAACTTGAAACACGACATTGAGTAGGTCGGAATAGATTGCGCTACGGATTTTATAAGCACCTCTTTTCCCCTGCAGATAAGCATTTTTTTCATCCAACCTTGGATATGCTTCCATATTCTGTCTTTCAAATATTTAAAGCTTCCCTCCTTGTTTTTACCTACATCAGTTGGCAGTCCAAGATACTTCTCTAACAGTGATTCATTATGGACATCTAGAACTGCTTTTACCTCATCTCGTGTGGCCTCTGGCACACCCTTACTGAAAAATATAAAGGATTTGCCAGTGTTGATACGCTGTCCCGAAGCATCACAATACATTCTCAACACATCTCGCACTTGTGTAGCACTCTCACTATCAGCTTCAAAGAACAAGAGACTGTCATCTGCAAAAAGTAAATGGTTGATTGCTGGGGCATTATTCGCCACTGACAGTCCTCGGACCCCCACCCCTTGGGCTTTTAACAGACACGAGAGGCCTTCCGCGGCTAACAAGAATAGGTACGGGGATATGGGATCCCCTTGCCTCATCCCCCTTGTTGGCCTGAAATCATGAAGACTGCCACCATTAAAAAGAACTGAGAAAGTGACTGAAGACATGCACCTCATAACCATATCTGTAAAACGTGGGCTGATACCCATCTTGAGCATCACTGCTTTCAAATAATGCCACTCAAGTCTATCATATGCTTTCATCATATCCAACTTCAGAGCCACAAAATGGTTTGCCTTCACTCTCCTGGTCTTCATGTAATGTAGGCACTCATAAGCTGTTATGAAGTTATCCGTGATAAGACGCCCAGGCACAAAAGCGGACTGCTCCTCAGAAATTACCTCGGGGAGAATAATCTTCAGCCTACTTGCTAAGACCTTTGACGCAATCTTATAGATCACGTTGCAAAGACTTATAGGCCGAAATTATGCTATCAGTTTTGGACTAGCTATCTTGGGAATAAGAACGATGACCGTGCGGTTGATATCCTCCGGTGAGTCCTCTCCATTGAGCAATCTTATAATCACGCCAGTTACCTCATCACCACATAGTTCCCAATGTCTCTGAAAGAAATGCGCCAGAAAACCATTCGGCCCTGATGCTTTTGTTGGGAACATCTGAAAAAATGCCTCTTTAACCTCCTCTTTTGTATACTGCGCATTGAGCCTTGCATTCATGTTACCATCAACTCTTACCGGAATATGTGACAGAACTTCTTCTATGCCTATACATCCTTCTGATTTGTATAAGTTCTCATAAAATTCATTCGTCATCTCAGCCATCTCCTCCGGATCAGAGGTGGTCGTTCCATCTATTTTCTATAACTGTGTTATGGTGTTCTTTGCCCTTCTAGCACTCGCTTTCCTCTGAAAGTATTGCGTATTACTGTCCCCCGCAGATAACCAGTCCATGCGAGATCTCTGCCTCATCATAGTCTCCTCTCGAAAGGACAACTCAACAATCCGATCCAAGACCCTTTTCTCTTCCACTCCCGGCCCAACACGCGTCGGGTCCTCTCTAAGCTGAGTCAACTGTTGTCGTAGCCTGCGCAACTCCTGTCTGACTGAGCCAAACGACAGCTTGCCCCATTGTTTCAGGGCGGTCCCAACCGAAGACAACTTGGCCGCAAGCTGCGCCATAGTTTCCGCCGGCTGATCCCGACCCCATGCCTCCTGAAGTGTATCCACGAACCTGTCATCGCTCTCCCACATGCATTCATAACGAAAAGGCCTTTTAAGGGCAATTCTCTGGTTGCTTGCCTCCATCGCATTGATCAATAATATTGGGCTATGATCTGACTTTGCTGTAGTTAGGTGTTCAACCGTGGCATACGGGAATAACGCTGACCAACTGGCCGTAGCCAGCACTCGATCAAGTCTTACCCTGCAGTATTCTCCCCCCACAACTCTCTTCTCAAAAGTCCAATCCAACCCTTTGTAGCCAAGGTCCGTTAACTCACAAACATCAACTGCTTCTCTGAAACCTTCTATCTGAGCACTATCACGCTCATTTGGCCCCATTTGCTCTTCTGGCCTTAAAATTTCATTAAAATCTCCCATGCACACCCATGGTAGTGCATTCTCCCCCCGTAAAATTTTCATAGTATCCCACATCTTGTACCTCATACTCCTATCTGCTGCACCATAAAAACAAGACAAACGTCATGGTTCCAATCCAGGCATTTTCATCACTGAATCAATATGATAGCGAGAAAAGGTCTTTATTTCAAGATCAACATTATTTTTCCAGAACAAGCATAAACCTCCACTTCTACCACTACTATCTACTCCAAAACGTCCAGAAAACCCTAAAGTACCCGCCAATCCTTCCACGTGGTATTTTGCCAACTGCGTCTCCACAATACAAAGCACCGTCGGCGCACATGCCTCCACGAGATCGCGGAGCTCTCTAACCGTCGCGGGGTCGCCAATCTCGCGACAATTCCAGCACAAC